GTTAAAGTGGTCTGTGGTTTCTGTGTTACCTGAGACCACTCTTAGTTGACCCAGATTGCATAACTGCCTGACATACTTGAGTATCTGCAGTGAGCAGTTTGGATCCTCCAGTTTGTGTTTGAGCAGCTGGTCTCCTGATGGTCCTGGGTGATTGTAGCTCAGATCCAGCTCTCTCAGGTGTGAGGGGTTTGAACTCAGAGCTGAAGACAAATAACCACAGCCTTCCTCTGTCACCATACAGCCAGACAACCTACAAACACACAAAACAGTCTGATAAAAAAAGGAAAACTCACGTCCATCTGTTAATGTCTCTAAATCTACAAAAATACCCTGATTACAACAACGTTTGAAAATGTATGTTTAATGCACAAAGTGGAACTGATGGAACCACATCAATAAGTGTGCTAAAATGAAAGAAAAAAAAGTATATATATATAAAAAAAAAAACGTAGTGCTAAATATTCTACATATATTAGTGCTAGAAAAATTTTCTTTTTCTTTCACACCTCAGTATCTGCAGCTGACAGTTTGGACTCTTCAGTGCATCAGAGAGCAGCTTCACTCCTGAATCCTGCAGGTCATTGTTACTCAGATCCAGCTCTCTCAGGACAGAGTTTGAGGATTGTAGAGCTGATGACAAACTCTTACAACACTGAGCAGTGATATTACAGCCAGCAAGCCTAAAAGAGATTAAAACAAATGAAAAATAAATAATTAACCTCATTGTAAAACTGGTATTTCAATAATATTAGCTTCATTCTCTAAAATACATTAAACTAAATGTGATTAAACACTCACAGAGCTTTTCTGCAGTTGCTCACAGCTGGTATCAGTCTTCTTCTCCCCTCATCTGATGTGTTGTATTTCTTGAGATCCAGCTCATCCAGTGGCTCATCTGACATCTGAAGCATGTAGGCGATTGTTGAGCAGTGAGCAGGAGAGAGTTTCTTCTCTGAGTGTTTGTCTGATTTCACAAACTCCTGAATCTCTCTGACCAGAGTCTGATCTTTCACTTCCAGCAGACAGAGGAACAGATTGATGGATCTTTCAGTGGAGAGTCCATGTCCATCTTTGATCTTCTCTTTAATGTACTGTGTGGTTCTCCTGATTCAGCAGTTTAAATTGCCATTATGCTGTTCAGCTTTAAAGATACATTGCCTACGATGCTTTGCTAGACTAAGAGTGTGCAATGAGGAAGATAACCGCATGACTGATTCAATGGCTGCTGCCGAATGCTGAATAATGCTGCCTTTGGAGGAAGCAGTCCAATGTAGGAAGGCATCAAGGCACATCCAAATCCAATGACAACTCCACTTCCGGTCTCCTGAGATGCCTTCATCTGATGGCAGAAGGCAGCATTAGATGTATACTTCGGTGCCTATGATATCCCACAATCCTGTGCGTTCCATTCCATGATGGTTAAGATAAAAAAATAACCATGGAGGATGCAGCCATTGTGTGTGTGCTGCAGAAGTGATTACCTTACTGTATAACACTACTAAAATCTTCAGTAAACAGTTCTTTTGTTTTTAATACAAGTGATAAGTGGTCAGTATCGCCTACTAAAGAAGATACAGCACACTTTGAATGGATACATGTGTGTGTGTGACATATTCCTCTGTCTTCATCATGTGTCAGTCGTCTCACAGCGGTCAGATGATCCAGACAGAACAGGGACAGACTCGTGCCCCACGGAGAGATGTCCTGGACACACAGACTCAGAGACCCCCGTCCAGCAGCAGAGACTCCAACAACATCCATTCAGGACATGAGAGAGCAACCGATGAAGATGAAGAATGAAAACAGACAGAGATGAGAGGAGAAATCAGAAAGACAGATGAAATAGAGGAGAGCAGACTGTGTGAGTGTGACGTCTGTCTGAACACATGCTGTAATCACACACTGCAGTACATCGCCCGTTTCATCTCAATGTTTAGAGTCTGAATCTCTCAGCACTGAATCTGAGCTATAAACACAACGTGACAGACAGTGAATGTGATTCACCATGTGCAAAGATTTGAGGAAAACCAGTAACTCAGTGTTACACTGTGCAGCTGTTACATTAAAGAGACATTTTCACCTGATCTGATGCAAAACAGTAAGAAAAAAAAAACCTATAAAGTGTAACATGCCAAGGTAGCAACAAAGCAAAACACGACTTGCTCAGAATTATAATTTTGCAGTAACAACAGTGTTAAATAGAGTGAGCCAAAAATGACTTTACAACAAAACAATCTTCAGCAACACTAAAATTATGTAGCATTGTGAGCTAAAGGCAAAAGGCAACACTGAAAGCATCAAAATGTTCTAATGTTTGTAAGTTGAGTTATGTATGAAAAAAAATAGGACAAATATGTTTCTGAAAAAATAGACCATTTGTTTGTGATGTCTCAGTTGTTTCTCACAGCAGATTATTTAATCTGACATAGAGACAATGATGATTTAAATACTCTGAATCCAGCATAGAGGGGTTCAGTGAATGTGGTGTTGAATGTGTGTAAGTGTGTGAGTGTGTGTGTGTCAGAGACGCTGTAGAAGGACAGAGTGCCAGCTGACACATCCACATACACTCCTACTCTATTAGAGGATGAAGGGGCTGGTATGTCAGTTTTCTTATTATCATTCCAGGCAGAGTATCTGTTTTCAGTGCAGTACAGACTCCAGGATTTGTCATTGTATCCAAACCAAGATTCACTTCCTCCTTTCCTGTTGATTGCTTTATATGTCACTGCTATATAAGCCCATCCACTCCATTCAACCTCCCAGTAACAGCGTTCAGTCAGACTCTCTCCACACAAAACCTGCTCATGCTGCTCAAATCTCTCTGGATGATCAGGATACGGCTGATGATCTTCGACGTGTGTTGCCTTTCTGTAGTCTTCAGACAAGATGAGTTGAGTGTGTGCTGTGTTTGGATCCAGTGTGAGATAACATGCATCTGAACACAAGAAGAGACATCACAAGTACATTAAGGACAGTTTCAGAGCTCTGAGTGTGTGTGTTCTGGCATATATGGCTGATGTGGAATATAATGACAAATTTGATAACACAGGTATTTCAATGTAAACGTAGTTTATGAGGGCCCTCTCTGTAAACCAAATGGGTAAAAACATACTAAACAGTGTTTATTTAAAAATCTAAAAATGCAGAAAATTTTGTATGAGGGGTAGGCGGAGGGTAAGGGGATAGAACATTAATTTCCCTTTCAAGGGAACTTCGAACTGCGTCCTCTAGGGGTCGCTATGGGGGATGCCTCAATGTGACCCGTGTCTGAAGCATACTGTACATTCAAAAAAACACCAACAACATGTTGGCC